TCTGTAAAGTCAGGTTGCATCATTTGTAGAATGGAAGGTCAGACGGTTGTCATGGTTATGAGAATCAGCATTTATAACGTATCTAACATAATTTATATTTAATGAACATAATAAATATGCACTTCTTTTATTCTCTTTTAGTTTCCTCTTTCTTACTTATCTAATATCATTGAGTCTTTAAGACACTGAAGTGTGGCTTTTGCTCCATGATTGCTGTCTTCTTCCGTCAGTCTTAAAATAATCACCAGCTAACCGCCAGATCGAATGGCTTATAACTTCTTGTCAACCTGGAAATACTTAAAAACTGTACTAGCTTTTGTTCTTTTTTCAAATTCTCTCTTTTCAGTTTCTGTGACCTCACATCCGCTCCATGTGCCACTTCCGTAATCACACCATTATCGTTCCAGACAGTCCTCGTATTGTACTTGTTTCTCCTCCCCTTCTGATGCTATGCACACTTTAAGGCCTTTCGTTTTCAGTTCCAAGTCCGGAATCTTTACCTTGGAGAATATTCGTATGTCTAGTTGGGATGTGTCTCCCTACCTGCAGTCTCAGATCTCTTCAGTTTTTCCTTTCTATGGCAATTGGAGTATTTTTTTTTTCTAAAAAATAAAAACTGGATAAAATGGCATCTATATTACTCTCTTTTATCTATAATTTTTCATAGCTCACAAAGAAAAAATCATATGGCCTTGGGCCTTCAAAGTTTTACTTCTGTCTTTTTTCCCAAGCCTCTTTCAATGGACTCAAGAGATTAATAACAGAAGGTTTTATTCAGAAAGAGTCATGTTCAAATCATGGTTCTTTCATTATTTATTGTCTAATAGTGAACAAGACACATAGCTACACTATACCTTAGTTTATCTACAAACTGGGGAGAAGTAATACCTACTCATCCAGATAGTGTGAGGACTTAAATCAATTTGATTAATTACTATACCCCAGCTTTTAAATAAGCATTTTATATAAATATATATTTAATTTATTTCGGGTCAGTTTAAATCAATGACTGCTTGAATTTCAAGTGTTGAATAAATGCTGATAGGTAGCAAGTGTTCATCAATAATTGGTGGCCATGATTATCCCATTCACACTTCTCATGCTCTTCTAGGTTTACCTTTGCTTCCTACTAGTATTTTGGACAAGTCTCTTTTAATATTTATTCATGAGTGAAAATTAAGGTAAGAATAATGACTCCCTCAAATTATAAGAATTTTGCAGACTATATAAAAAATTTTATATATATAAGAAAATGAATTAGAGGATGGAAAAAAGAAAAATGTTTGCATATGTTAAAATTGTAAGCTCATGGTAATTTAAATTTCAATGAAGAAAATCATAACCGAAGTATTATTGTAGGTTAAAAGTTTGCGAAAATTAGCTGGGCATGGTGGTGTATGCCTGTAATCCCAGCTACTTGGGAGGCTGAGGCAGGAGAATTGCTTGAACCCAGGAGGTGGAAGTTGCAGTGAGCCAAGATTGCCCCACTGCTTTCCAGCCTAGTGCCTGGTGACAGAGTGAGACTCTGTCTCAAAAAAAAAAAATTTTTTTTGGACAAATGAGATTATTCAAAGAGTAAAGGCAGGGAAGAAGGTGAGCGGTAGACTGGAATATGTAAGCATTAGAGAAAAACTGCAATTAGCGCGTCGCTAATGGGAATAGAAAAGAAGGAATCCATGTGGCCGCTGAGTTCAGCTGCGCTGGCAGAGGCGGCTAGGTGTCTAGACAGTGATTTTTTAAACAATGTGTGTTCGATGTTTACGTGCATTGCTAATTAAGTCAACTTTTTAAAAACTCAGATATATTGAAACTTTTTTTTCCTAGATGAATTAAAATTTTAAAACTCAGATGTATTAAAAGTCAGATGTATTAATTTTCTTTTTTAAACAAAATATAAAGAAAAATTTCAAAAACTACTAGCAATATATTATATTCTTGAGATTTAGAATACGAATACTATCTTAATATGATTGCACTATATCAGAATTTCTCTCTTGGAATGTTTTTTCATCTTTAACAATATAAGAAACCAGGGCATGCACCTCTTGTGGGGCGAATAGAAGATGTTTGCTGCACATGCACTCACACACCTTAGTCATAATCCTCTTACTATTTCTAGACTTAATTTTCAGTGCATTTCGCAGTAAGATAATTTGTTCCACAAGAAGTTAGCTAAGATAGTAATATGTGCATTATTTTACATATTTATATCTTAGTATAGAGATGAGAGTTAGAGAAATATCCAGACATTTTAATAAAATAGAACATAATGATGTATCCTGTATCATATTCTGCCTTTTTGCATATATTGTAGACAGCCTGCAATATTCAGATAATATGAAGAATATCAACTAATACAGAAATAATTATTCAGCAATTGATAACTTATAATCCACCCCTTTACAAAATCATGATTTGAGATAAATATATGATGCTCCAGTTTAGCCTGGGGCTATGCCCAGAAATCAAAGAGTTATATGCAAGTATCATTGGTAATTTTATTAAAAGCAAATATATTTGTCATTGACATGGTTACTGTTATTTCCATGGAACACGAAATGTTCACAATTAAGATTTCTTGCTACTTCTACAATATTACTTTAATTTCCAAAAGTGGTTTCTGTTGCCCCTTTGTATACATACCACCACAATTAAACACTACCACTGTGTTAAAAATTATAACATTTCTAAATGCTTTGGAAAAGAAGGGTACCAACCCTCTGAACCCCCAATTCTATTAACAAATGGAAGAAAAGCATCAAGCATAACTGAAACAAGGACTATTCCCAGAAGCATTTCCATAAAAGAGCTTTTAACAAAATGATCACCATTAAAAACCTATCATTTAAAAATTCTTTAATGGCAGCATTACCGATTCTTAATTTTTATTGAGTGTTTTTAACAGCAGGCTTGAAAGGATTAATTCCCATATGCATTTGTTATCACAAATGCAGTAATGATTTGTGGAGATTCAACCAAGAGAATTCATCTAGGTTTCTTGGAAAGATTATCTTTAAGAAAGGTCAGAGTCTTATCAAGACAGTCATTGGCAGACATTTCTGATGCTAATCGATGTATATACATTTACTATTCTAGATGCCAAATCATCCTTAAATAACATGTGGACTTCAGCGGGTCACTACACTTGTCACTAAGCCTGTAGTAAGGGGGAGCTGAGACACATCTGTCATCTGACTTTTCCCAGCCTTCTCTGGGGGTTTGTCGCCTTGTCCTAAAGGCTCATGTTTTCAGCTCTGTAGGATCCATGACACCAAATGTTGACACTTTATTATTACTCATATATTTAATTTTTTAGCATTATGCAAATTAAATATCCTTCCCAAAAGCATGGGTTAAAATGTAGGTTACCATTTTATAAATCAGATCATGTAATTTTATTTTTACCCATTTGCTCTGGAATAAAACTTAGTCCCTAATCTAACCCACTTGGTTTGTATGACTCCTGCCTGTCTCTGGACACTCTTCTAGAATCTTTCAACCCTGCTGTTTCCATCACTGCCCAGAATAATTATACATCTTACTAAAAGTATAATTGTAGCTAGAACATCATAACTAGTCTATGTCATTCCACTCCTGCACTTCCTGTGTATTCATTCTCCACACCACAGTCCTGATGTTTATTTGGTAAAACATACTTTTTTCTGCCCTGATTTTCTTTACACTAATGCTAAAATCTAAATCTGTTTCTTATGATTAACATAATTCTGCATTATCACTCTCGATGAGCTCACGATGTTACAGCCACGCTGATCTTCGTTATCCCTTTCATGCCAAGCTGAGGTATCTGCACTCTACCTGGAACACGTATCCTTTGCCCATCTTTGCACAGAGAGCCATTTCTAATCATTTGGCTTTCAGTTGAAATATCGCCTCCACAGAGAGGCCTGCCCAAGGCTCCCTAAGCACTGTAATCCTCATGCATTATGTTCTATCACGTCATACCTTTGGTTGTTTCGCAGCACTTATGCTTTCTTAATATTTTCCTGTTTATTTATTGTTTCACTCATGTATTAAGAATGGAAGTCCCAATGGAACTGTTTCTTTTCTTTGCTATTGTATTTTAAATCCCCAATACAAGAAACGTAGAAAGTGGCTTTTGGGGTTTTTGTTTTGCTATGTGTCTGGTTTGACTTTTTGAAACCTAATTACAGAGATATAAGTTATATTTCATAGTTACCATTTTCTTTCTAGGCCAGGACCCTGCCTTATTTTATGAATATATGTATTTTGCCTTTTTACATCCCATATCCTGACTTCTGATCACTTCCCCAAAAGACACACTCACCGTATAGGGCTTGATGTATGTTCTTAAATGTAGATGTGCTGTTGTAATACATAAGTACATATATTTAATTTGTATATTAATTGTACTATACATTGTGTTTGTTACAGTTTTACATCAACCATGTTTTTCAGATATATTCATTCTTCTCTGCCTGTATTGTTTGCTGTTTCATTGTTGTACAATACATATTTTTAGCCTGCATCCAATATACTTTTCATCCATCGGACTTTTTTAATCCATTCTCTCATGATGTGATTCCAAACTATCTGTTAACACCTACCACTCTACACTATGCCACAGTAAATATGCTGCTGCCTGTCCCACCTCTAATTTGTGGGGATTCTTCTGTAACATAAGGTCAAAAGTAAAACTCCTCAGTAATAATGCATATGCTTATTTTCAGCAAAACAGTAGATGCTTAGTAAACACTTGTTGAACTAATCATTTAGTACTGTATAATAAACCATTTTACATTCTAATTTCATCCTATGGATAAGTAAGAATTAACCATATATGTAATGTATTACAAGTTCTTAGAGAATACATGGATAGCCTCACTATAATCTATAAATTGTTAGTTATCTATGGCTGCAAAACAGATTTCTCTAAAACTCAGAAAATTAAAACAACAAACTATTATCTCATAGTTTATGGAGGTCAGGATTTTGGGAGTAGCTTATTTAAATGTTCTTACTCAGAATCTTTCATGAAGCTGCAGTCCAGCTACCCGCCAGGCTGCAGTCATCTGAGGGCTTCACTTGGCCTGGGAGATAGCTGCTTCCAAGATGGCTCCCTAGCATGACTATTGGCAGGAGTTGTCAGATCCTTGACAGGTGGACTTGTTAAAGTGCTTTTTGAGTGTCCTTGTGATGTGTTAGCTGGCTTCCTTCAAAGCTAGTGATCCAAAAGGTAGAGTGAGAAGGAAAACAAATGACTTATTCTCAGAAGTTAGTCACTTTCATCATTTTCTGTCTGTTAGATGCAAATCTTTTCCACACTCAAGGAAAGGGTAATTAAGCCCCACTTCTTGATGGGAGAAGTTTCAAAGAACTTGTGAACGTATTTTAAATTCACCACCAAATCCTGAGGCTATAATAGAATACAATATTGTGTAAGCTCTGAATAAATGCACATTTATTATGCTATGTGTTTGATTCTGTAAACATTAAATGTCAACCTTGTGCTAAACACTTTTCTAAATAATGTGAAGAATAAGATGAATAGTTAAATTTTATGCTATGAAGAAACTTACAATTGTATAACAAAATGATACAAAGCTAAAAATGCAATATGTTGAAACAAGTTTTACTACAACCCAATATAATACAAATATCTAAGGTAACAAAGTCCCACATGATATAATACAATACAGTACAAAAATTGTAATGCCATAACATGAGGGCACTGTTAACATAAGTGAAATTAACCCGAATCTGTCTGGGAATAATATTTTCACAGTGAAGTTATGTTAGCTAAGATTTCAATAATGATTGATTAGGTAGTTCCAAGATAAATTACCCAACTATAGGAGGCTATAAGCAGAAGAACATGACATGCAAATGTACAGAATCATGAATATTGCAGATGTGTTCAGGGATCTATAATTATAGGCCATTGGCAAACTTCATATATAGGTCCTGAGTATTTCATAAATTTTACATTAAGGAATATTACAAATTGATATTTAGATCACAAACAATTGGCAAGCTTTCATTTCAGTCAAATCGTTTGCTTCTGCACATTAGCCAGGACAGTTTAAACCTTCACTGCACAGTTTACATATGTTTTCTTCGCCATCCTAACAGCCCTATGTTGTAGGTACTACTATATCCATGTACTTCCAAAGTCGGCATTGCAAATGACCAATACAGAATATTAAATCTGATAATGCCCTGCATCTGTCATAGTTTAGAGTTTCTCGCTCATAAATTCAAAGGGGAAGATGGGCAAATGAAAACTGAATTGTAAATAGGAGCAAGATCAAGCTCCATAGAGCTTGATAGGCCCAAAATATGAATTAATTGTGGGCTGAATTGTTGAAGCAGGGGAATGATACTGCCAGAATGACTTGAGAAATATTTCACTGTGGTGATAGTATATAATATAGCTAAGAAAGGTTGAAATTAGAGGCAGGGAACATTAGGCAATAGATGACAAAGATTGTCCCAGAAGAAGGGCATAAATACAAGACACACTTAGGAAATAGAATAGACAGACCTTGTATACTGCATGAATGTGTGAGAATGTGAGATTCAGAAGCCTTTAGAAAAACCTAAGTTTATAACCTGGTATCTACTTTGACAGAGATATTATGGTCATGTTAGGATAGCTGCAGTAGTTAATATAATGGTTATTGTTATTATTACTGTATCAGGTTCCTGAAAATTACACATTATTAGTTAATCTCAACATCTTATCTCATGGATATCCATTCAGTGAAGACTGCTGTCAAGACATCCTGTATCCACTTTACTTTGAGTCAGATCTTTGTACACAGCTTTTCGTAGCATGATTTTGGAGTTAGCTTCCCCCCTACACACACACCTTTTGCTGTTAGATACCCCAACCTCTCTTGGTCCTAGTTTCTTTATCTGTAAGTGAGGATTTTAATGTCTATCTGTAACAGTTAGGGCAAGCTGATAGAACAAATAGACTCTTAATGAGCAATGAACAAAAACAACAGGGATTCGCTTTTTCTCATTAAAAGAACCCAAGGTGATAGGGCATAGAGGTCAGGATTATATTGGTGTGAAAACTTGTATTTTTGCTCCAGATAATCATTCAGGAATCCCGATGTATGGTGGCTTTGCATTTTTGATGAGTGGCTTCCAAGGTTGCCTGGTACATTAGTATCTGGTCAGAAAAAGGGGCAGGAGGATGTGGGAAAGCACCACCTGTTTTTTGAGGGCCCTAACCAGTGGTTATCTCTGCCATTCGTCCTCACTGGATTGTCAAGAACTTGTCACATGGCCATACCTGGATGCAAAGCCGACTGAGAAACACAATCCCTGGCTGCACACTAACTTCTTAGTGATAACTTCAAAATGTCCTGCCAATACTTACAGTTGTTTAGAACATTAGGTAAGATAATGCACGTGGTGCTTTTAGAACAGGATCTAGAATATGAAAAGTGCTCAGCTAACATTAGGATGAGGGAAGGTGTGGTGGATAGGAGGCAGAGGACTCTCTTCCTTGCTCTGCCCAGGACCTTCATAGTTAGCAAATTTTTCTACTTTCAAGATGATTAAAATAATGCTTAGGGTTAGTGAAATCAGTGAAAAAGTTTTAAAGACACAAAATCTAGTTGATTAATTACAAGAGTAAGTAAAAAAATGTTTTGATACAAGACTTAAACTGAGTAAAACAAATGAGAAACAGCATCAAGAGTTTGGGCCAGATGTGGACTCCTGATTTCTCAAAGGGCAGCATGAAGACAGGTCACAAGAAAAAGAAGAGTTTTTGTTTGTTAATAATAATTTTTTAAATGCATGCATATAGTGAAACAGCTCAAAGATTTGAGTCAGATCTCTTATTTGCTCATAAAAACTTCCAAACTAGAGAGATAAGAAACACATCAAAAGTCAGACAGAAATATTTCTTGTAGTAGCCAAGTTAATATCTGGATACGATGCTGGAATTTTTTCCTGAATATATACGGTTCTGCTAAATGATTTTGCCTGAACTGGCAAATTGTTCATTTGTAAGCACGAAGCTGTTGAGATTTGTATTCAGAAACTCAAAAAATAAATTCATGAGTCCAGAGTAGATATTTAAATCTTACAGGATACTTATCTGAAGAATGAATTTTTTGGCCACCATGTTCTTGTAAAATGAGAAATGGCTGTCTATTCCTATGCTTATCATCGTTATTATGCTCTTATTCTATCTTGATTTTAGAAGTATAACATGCAAATAACATTCTGTGTTAATCATTACAGTATGTAGAATTAATATACACATTTCTCTAGAAATTGTGACTTTTGGGAGAAATTGCTGAAAAAATAAGAAAGACTGCTAACAAGGCAGCTAAAACAATCTTTTGTTTGCTAACATCATCTACAGTTTAAAAGTCCTCATCACGTCAATAGTGTTCTCATTCTTCACACTAAGCGTGCTGCTCTAAACACAGATTGGCTGATTGTCCTTAGTGTTCAAAAACTGCACCTGTTCTTTTCTAATGGTATTTAAAAGAACATAATGCTGTAATTATCTGTTGCATGAATTACAAGTATCCCCAGAACTGGTAAATAATATAACACTACAAACTGAAATTATAATTCAGTGCTTATTTGCATGTAGATGACCAAAAATATGTCTCTTCATCTAGTAGACAATAAAATTACTATCGTTTCACTTTTAAAAGATAGCTCTGTTTCTTTAAAATTACTGGCTGAGCTGAATACATTTTGCAATTGGTTTACATAGAGGAAACTAACAGTAAGAAGAAAATGAATTGAAAAATAAGATTTGTTTATTAAATTTCTCACTCTGATGTCCCTAATCTTGATCCTTTCTTAGAAGGAATAATCGAGTGGTTTTGTGTAAATGAGATTATCAGATAAAATCAAATTTATTTATTTACACTTTGGAAAAGGATATATGTATAAATTAAAACACAGTGAATATTTTATTCTGACTGCTCTGTATAAACATGGTAGACTTGGCAAATCAAATCAGAACTTTCAAGTATTTATTATTATGAGATAATAATCAGACATACCTATAAGATTTTAAAATTATTTCACATGTTCTACTGCAGAACTGGTATTAATATGAATATCTGGTTTGATCTAGTGTAAGTCAAGCTTTGATAAATAAATTGAGTCAGGAAGGATCTTCAGAGTAGCTATATTTAAGATATGTTATATCCAATATCCCTTTTCATCACATATGTCAGAAATGAGTTTGCCTGATTTAATCTTTCTCTTGATTCTCTGCTTCTTCAGGCATACATAAAGACAATCCATCTTTTATGTGTTAAACTGATAAATCACAGCAAATATCAAGTAGCAGTTAATCCTGGAAGCATAACTTATGAATAAATAATATGTATTGAGTGTGGAATAGTATCACATTCTACCATTTTTATCAGCTATTGGGCAGACTTCTAAGAAATTAAATTCTATACCAGGTTGAGATTTAAGTTCTATGAAATCAGTGGACAACAATAACCTTATTCATCAGCCAACTCATGTCCATTAGATGTAGACATACATCAATTGTAAATCAATATATCACTGAGAAGCTAGCAAAATTAGTTTGTGAATGATAAAATTGAATTGTCAGTTATATTGTAGTTATGTGATATTTATATGACAAACAGATGAAGATATTTAATTACAAAATAATGCAATTAAAGGTCATTTTAAAGTCTGGGAAAGTATCTCTGGGGGCTTACTATGTAATAATCTTGCACATGTATCATAGAATCTAAACCCTACCACAGCCACATAAAGTGGTTATTTATTTCTCCATTTATCTAGAGGAAGAAAAACAAAGTTCAAATAATTAATGTATGCAATTCACATGATTATTAGTAACTATATAGAAATGTGGACTGACTACTGAGTTTCTATGCATCCTCCTCCCTAATTTTCCCTGCTCCATTGTATTTAGATGGAGCCATGATACTCGTTACAGCCAATGGATTGAAAGCAGCGTGGATGTTACTTCCAGACCAAAAAATTTTACTCAGTGAATCACTCTTTGGCTTTTCATTCCCTACTCTATTGACCCTGGAACCCTCAAGCTGAAATAATGAACAAGATTACATTGCTATCACATATAAATCCTAGGTTTTCAGTGATGTAACACAACGAAAGTTCATCTTTCATTCTCTCTCCAAGTCCAAAAAAAGAGTAGAAGGGACTCAGTTTCTTATCGTCCCTCAGATA